AAATCAGATCTCGTGGTGTAGGGTATCGTGATTCATCGCTAAACCACACTCGTCTCCAGTTTCTCAAATTCCAAATTCTGTAAGGTATCGAACCAACGCAAGCGTTGCTGTCGATGGATCTGTTGCAACACAGGGACGATAACTGGTCTTCTGGCTTCCAGCCTCGCGAAGATGGTTCCAGACAGTCTGGTCCGATATCCTCCTCTAACCAGGGATGCGTCCTGCAGTCTCTGTAGCTGTGGCATTACGATGACGTCGGTGGAACAGTCGAATGTAGCGATCCGGTGCAGGGTTGGTAACTCGTGGTCGGCCGGTTCTCGGACGGTCTGCAGTGGAATTGAACAGTGTGTATCGGTCCCCAAAGTGGCAAATGGTGCTGTGGTAGACGTTGAAGTGGCGTGCAACAGAAAACTGCTATTCCCCTCTTTGAATACGTCCTATGTTCCGATCGGCAGCACTGAGTCCCGGAATTTTCGAACTTGAAAAATGTTGACAATTGAATGACAAATTATTGGCTTATGCTTGTCTTTTTATTGCCACTACCACGAGTTACGAATGCCATAACTTGCACGTGCATTTTGCTTTACTGTTTTCATCCATGACATTTTTTAACAAGTGTGAAAACAATGGCGTTTAGGACATTGTAAATCGACAATGGCTGCGTTCAATGAACTACGTACTACCGCTTATTATTGCACTTATATAGCGACGTGCATACGTGTGTGTGACTGCTTGTACTAGGCCGGACTGATGCCGATTTTACAGTGATAACTCAGTGAGATACCATGCCGCAGTTTAACATGAATACCCCACTCAGACACAGTATACTGACTCCGAGTCGACCAGTCCTTGTGTTAGCCCCTTAATGCCGAGCGCCAGACAGGGCAACAGCATGTACCATCTCTTAACGTCTTTTGGTATGACGCGACCGGGCATCGAACCCCGGACCTTCCGCTCTCCGGGAAGAACAGCAGACGCTCTACCACTAGACCACGGATGCGGTTTTGTTTTTAAGAGAACAAATCCTACACGCTGGCATCCCTCGGGCGTCAGTCCTTGGTCCATTAATATTTTTTTATCTATATTAATGACATATGCTATGAAATGAGAAATTTGATACGTTTGTTCGCAGATGATACCAGCATAGGCATATCAACTCCAGATATTAAGCATATTGAAAACTCAGTTTATAAAGATCTATGCAAATTACATAACTGGGCACAAACGTGGTTAGTACAATTCAATCCTAGCGAAACCAAGTATATATTCTTCGCGCATAAAACCCCAGATAAAATGCCATCAATAGTTTTCAATAACACATGTATAGGAAGAGTAGACTGTCATAAGTACATTGGTGCTACATTATCACAAGACACAAAATGCAACGATCATATCAATAATATTCTTTCAAGTGCTTCAAAAATGAAAAAAATTAAATATCGGGTTTAGTAGATCAAACTTGGCTAGAATATATCTAGTTTTTAGCAGACCGACTTTAGAATATGCCTCGGTTGTCTGTGACAGTTACTCTTCCTATAATGCTAATAAATCAGAATTACTACAGCTTGAGGTAGCTGAAATAGTGACTGGATTACCTAAAGTTTACGTCAAGAATCTTGTAACTATGTATAAAATAATAAATAAGCAATGCCCTTCATATGAAACTTGTCTTATACCACCATCTGTGTCACAGAACGTCAATTATAATCTCAGAAACCGCCAGGATTTTGTACTACCATGTGCACGAACATCTACGTCTAAAAGGTCTTATGTTATAGATACATTAGGCAAATGGAATAATCTACCCTCAGAAGTAAGGAATATTTCGTCAATTTCTTCTTTTAAATCTGTAGCATCTCAGCAGCCTATATCACCACCTACATGTATGTACTATAATTGCGGTAAGAGATCTACAAACATATTGCACACTAGATTGAGACACAATTGTAACATACTAAATTCCAACCTGTTTCGTTTTAACTTATCTAATACTATTTCCAGTGAATGGGGAGTACATAATATTATGCTGGCCAAAAAAAGAAACGCATAGCTGAAATCTGTTTTTCAAACTTGACTGTTATTAAAGATGAAGGCTTGAACTCAATATAAATGTCATTGCTAACTGTGAATATTGACCTTACACTAATTTATAGCACTCGAACACAACATTTGGTGACTTGTCGCCAAAATACAGCATCTTGAAACCAAACTGGGAGACATTGCATGGAGAAAAAGCTGTAAGTATGCTGCACGTGCAAATACGGCTACTTAACCTTTATACCGATGGGTATAAAAATTTGGCAGTCCTGCTACGAATCACTCTCCGATGTTCTGTATACGTGACTCTCATGATGCCAAGACTGAATGAAGACTGTAGAAACAGAGCCATTGGACGTCTGGAAGCTGGAGAAAGTCAGACATCAGTAGCCAGGCACTTTAACGTGAGGCAGAGTACCATTTCTCGTCTATGGCAGCGCTGAGACCATATACAGCGCCCGTTCTGCGGCAACATCATCGTCGTGCACGTCTGCAATGGAGCAGAAATGTTCGACCATGGACCCTAGTGCACTGGAGAAGGATATGGTTCTGTGATGAGTCGCGGTTCATGCTGTATCGCCATGATGGTAGGATGCGTGTCTACAGACGGAGAAATGAACGCTACACTCGACACTGTATTCATGAAGTCGACCGATACGGCGGTGGAAGTGTCATGATGTGGGCAGGCATATCCGTGAATGGTAGGACAGATCTGGTGCACGTGCAGGGAAATTTAACTGCTGTACGCTACCGTGATGAAATCCTTCAACGTCACCTTATTCCCGCCATTGACGTCAGAAGAGAGATTTTCCAGCAAGACGACGCAAGACCGCATACTGCACGTGTTACCATGGATTATCTTGCCCACAACAATGTTACTGTGCTGCCATGGCCCTCCAAATCGACAGATCTAAACCCCATTGAACATTTGTGGGATCAGCTAGACAGACGTGTACGACGCCGACAGCCTCAACCACAGACGCTTCAACAGCTGAACCATGCCTTGCAGGATGAGTGGAGAAGGATTCCACAACGCCAGATTCAACGACTCATACAGTCCATGCCCAGGCGGTGCAGAGCTGTGATCGATGCTCGAGGTGGTAACACCCGGTACTGACTTTGGCACAGTGCCATCACAGACACAGACGTCCCTTAGAACATTAAAAGACTGTTTGTAGTGTAAGAAACGTGCCTCATCCTGTGTAAAATTTGGTTGTTGTATCTTCATTATTTATTGTGTAATCCTATTTCATTAAAAATGTAATGAAACACTGATTATTCTGTTATGCGTTTCTTCTTTTGGACAGTGTAGTATTTTTTTTGATGACCCAAACCTAAATGTTTTACTGAATACAAATATATTTTTGTCTGTACACAAATATATAGAAACGACTAACAGATTCAGTAGCTAGTATATTATTGTTTTCTAATTGTTAATCATTAAAATTGTTAAATCTGTACATAAACACTAAAATGTATCAATTTTGCGTATGTATGATATAACTGGAATAATGTTTAAAGCGGCGTTAACCCCAACTCACTCACTCATATCTCGCCTTATATTGCACCTATAGTAGTGTGATTTGTTTCACTTTAACTTTGACCACTTTTGTCTCAGGCCGAGGCCTGTGGGGTCAACTAGTATATATTGTTCTCCTTTATACATTCAGAGAAACCATAATGCTTACGGACTGAAAATAACGGACAGTCTAGTGATTCATGTAGTGAGCGACGCTCCACGCCGTCAGGGTACCATGACACGCGACCCAACCAAGACATGACTTATCCGATTCATTTGTTCCCCGAGACGAGCAGTGGAATCCCCATGCAGGTGGGAGAACCAGAAGTTAAACGAATGCTCGTGGGATGCCATATCTAGCGACAGCGATTTTCTCAAAACGAGAATTTCACTTATTATTTATTTTGTAGAAATAATACATTAAATCATTATTTATGGGTAATCATTTGTTTTCGTTTTCTTTTCCACGATTACCTTTCGTCAAACCGGCCACAATCCAAAAGGGGAGCAGGACAAAACGGCCTCATGTCAGAATGGCCTCAAAAGCTAAAGTCAAAACGGCCTCAGTAAAATGTCAAAACGGCCTCAGTAAAATGTCAAAACATTTGAAATTGGCTTCACACATTGTACCCATGTCGGGAATCGGTGTGACGAGCGAACGCTTGGACCACTAACCTCCCCGACCGCCCCGGATTAGTTTGAAATACAAAAAATGTATGGTTTCCTCATTAGGATAAAACTTTATTCATGTTTTCACAACAGATTCGTACACAGGTCAGTACAGAGATCAAAGTAATTTGATGAGGATTATACATTGTAATAACAATTTAACCTCCCACCACAGGACCATGTAACCAATAGCAGTAACAACAAAAAAACTCGCAGACGAGGCCAAAGGCCTTCGGCCTCGTGTATGATTTTTTTGGCGAGTTCTTTTATTGTTATTATTATTAGTTACATGGTCCTGTGCTTCAACGTAATAATTCTCTGCAACATGTTTTCCTGCTCACATTGGATGTTCATTCATTGTTATAATGTCCATTTTGACTTTTGAACTGTAGCGGGTATGATTTGTTGTGGCCGTTATGACATTTTAATGTCGTTTTGAAAATAAATAGGTTTGTGGAGATTTTGACTTTTTGTTGTGGCCGTCTTGACTTGAGTATTGAGGCCATTCTGGCATGAGGCTGTTTTGACTACAACCTTACCAAAACAAGCATATCTTTATTGTTACGATTTAAATACAGTATGCTTCTTTAAATGAAAACAGTCATAGACTACAACGTAATATTAATGGTTTCATTCAATGTTATGCATTACACGTTTTACTTAACTAACACGTTTACACATCATCAGATTGGCTGAACATTTTGGTAAACCGTAACAGGAAAATAGCACTTACGCATAACTATCCGCGCATGCGCTCTTACCTAAATACCAAATCTAAAACCAAAATGTCGACATGTGCTTTGTTTGTAGTGTGGTTGACACTCAGCATAATACCTTGATCTACTATGAGTCAGGAGTTAGCTGAGCAGTACAACACTGATTATGATGTAGCCAACAACAATCAACCAGAATGGAACAAATTCCTCCCGAGGAATGGCCTGATCGGGGAAGAAAACAAAGGCGAGGGTACCAATGTTTACAGTGGAACAGATACGAACGAAAGACACTTTGCGGGCAATAATTTGCAAAACTCAAGTAAACAACCAGAGACGCGTTTCAGTAATATACAAGATGGTCTTGAATCATCTATTACGTAAGTGGTTACGCAAATCTAATCTTTTTCTTGTTGATGTCACATGATGTGTAGAGGCAGCAAAGTATCGCATACAATTTCTGTGGCTGTCATAATAATACTTGCCAGCAAATATCTACATCTCCACTTTGCTATGTCTATAATCAAGTTGACATTAGGTTTTTGTACGAATTTAATCCATGGGTGATCTATTTCGTTTTGAAATGATATGAACTAGGCCTATGAGTAAATAGTTTGCATTTTTTTGCTTCAAATGGAAATGCGATGTTTAGCAAATTTAAATAAGTAAATAGCTTTGGTTACATTTAAACCCTGTTTGATTAAGAGCCAACATGTTTGTGTGAGAATGCACAATGCTTTCCACACTGTCAAGAGAGCTAATGGTTTCAGTGTTTCAAGAGACTGTTAGTTATCTCAACATGTTCATTGGTCGTTATGATGAAATTAAATTGTGATCCGTCAGTCTAATGTAAACATGATGACACAGCTAAGAAAACTATTGTTCATGCATGACCCTTACTGTAGTTTCTAATGTGCCATTTTATAAATTTATGCGTGAATTGTTGATGGCGCATGACTTTCCCAATCATTGTTGGGGTCTGAAAAATGGGCCTCTTCGCTAATGGCGTGTCAGATAGTTGAAAGGAAAATAGCCTTTCCATCGTCAAAAACAAATACATCGGCTTCTAGAGAGCTTCTCAGGCTTTGGCAATTTTAAGCATAATAATAGTCCACAAGCTTGTCATCAACAACCTGTATCTCAGGTGTGTATTTAATTTGTATCCTCAATAAATGAGAATTAATTTGATCTCATGATCTACAAAAAGGAAACATTTTCTGTATATAGTTTGCTGCATTTCATGGACTGCCATGTTTAACAGTATTGGACTATTCTAATCGCATATGTTATATTTTGGATTACACTTGCCAAGTAAAGTATACATTTTAATCCTTTTGGGTTGGGGTCCCATCCAGGATTCAAACTCATATTCTGAGAGTAAGGCACCTATTGCCAGTGCTCAAAGTCAGCGACTCACCCATTCAGCCCCAGATGGTTCCACAAATTGGAAGATTAGATCACATACTTTGTGTGCTGTACTGACAAGTGTATATTGGCACGGCTCCCATGGTCGGAAACTATGAAGAGACTATACCTTTTAATAAGTGATCAAATGTGACGTATGTTTAAATTTACATTTAGAATTGCCACAATACACATGTCAGAGGGATACAAAGTTTATATTTTGATCGTCATAAGTAGTTTTTTCATGAAACAGTTACCATGGTTACCTTGTATTCAAGGTTTCACATTTTTGATGATCTTTCCTCTCCTGAAATATTATAAGGGGGAAATTGGAAAATGTAAGAAACAAAATTCAATCTACTATTTGAACTGTTCCTATCATAATGATAGGATCAGATAATCACATAGCATCGACTGGCTAAACAATACCATTATTGAATCCTAACTGTTCAAAACAAATGGGATAATTTTAAAATTAGTGCTTTTATTAAAAATCTAACTTGAACATGCACTGATAAAACAAGTTATTCTCATGTTCATATGTTCTGTTCATCACACAGAAACAAACATTAATTGACTGTTGCAAAGTTTTTTACACAGTGTTCACTAGTGTTGGCAATTGGTTAGAATATCATGATCAGTAATTGGTTCCACAAACCAATCAGTCATCACCAACCAATTCCCAGCAGTGCATAAGGTCAGTGAAGTTGGCATTAACTTGACTACCTTGGGCATAACGTTACAGCTCCAAGTCGGGAGCTACGAACTAAGCCATACAAAATCTATTCAGATGCCACCACAGTGGAACAGTCCAAGGGGTTTGGACTAGGGCTGCAACGACACAGGAAGGTCACGATTCGATATGTGTCTTGATAGGCAACGATAAAAAAAACTCATGTTGAGGTGCTCACATGGACGGTGGAACAGTCCAAGGGGTTTGGACGAGGGCAGCAATGATACAGGAAGGTCACAATTCGATATATATATTTCAAGCATGTCAAGTGTGGACCTTTCATGATTTTGGAACAGTCAAAATTATTTTTATAATAACAAGACTACTAAAGTTGTTAAGCTTCAAACTGGAACTTTCTATAACTTTCCTTCAAAACAATTCAGATTTCTAACACCAGAAAATAATCAATGTACTTGACTGTCTGAATAGCTCAACTTCAGGTTCTTTTTCAGAAAAATTAAAAATGTCAACATTGTCTGGGGACAGTGATACCCTCTGGGTACTGACTATCTCTTGCTTTAGAGTCTAAACGGATGTGGTGTCAAACGGGGTAGATGACCAACACAACAGTACATGCTCTCCCTACCTAACACAATCTATGATGTAGGTTTCAGAGTTTGTAAAAAGATTAGAATAGTAGTTGTATGTGATTCATAGTGTAAAAAAATATTTATCAAGTGTTATGTGCTTTAAAAAAACCCACATAGTATCCCTTTAGCGAATTCAGGTAAACGAGGAGGTGTAACAAATTTGGTCTATGAAAATATGAAATTTGATGTTAAACATCACTAGACACGATGATTGACCATCCAATGTTATCTCCTGCTCTCATAGGCATATTTTTTATATGCAGAGATTAAGAATACCATTTGTATTTTCTCGTTCACTAAGCCAGAAATAACAATCGGCGTACACGTTTTCTCCCAATCTACCGGTGATTCAGTCAAAAAGCACCCAATGATACCACTTCAAAGAGTTTTGATGCAATGGTCAGAAGAAATTGTATCTGCAATGTGTTTTTTCAGGAATAATATGTTTCAATATCTTGTTACTTTAGTTTGCAGCTTTTACTATATATTTAAAATTATAAGAACCATAACTGAGCACTGTGGTACATGTGATTGCTATTGCAGGATATTTTTACATATGGAACAATTTGACTAGCCACCAAAGGTACTTCCCACGCTAGATGTATTTCGATTGCAAAAACGTTGTGATGACATATATTGTCAATTCCACAAATATGACTTTTAACAAGTCTAAGTATGGAATTTATAATATATGTATCCATTCCCTAGCCATTAAAGTTTGTTTCAAGGCATCAATAGCATTAATCTGACAGGGGTTGCTGTAAAGAACGGTGAGTTGTGCAATCTACCAATCACTTCAGACACGATTTCGCCGAAATTAATGTAAACAATATTGAATGAAATTATGAATATAATTGATAAAATATATTCCAGATATACAATGAACAGGTTTTTATAACCAGATAATAAATAGGATTGAATTGCGTATTTCAGTGCAGAATTGTTGACTGATATTTTGGTGTTACCTGCTCGCGTTGATAAGCTGATAATGTTTTTTTAGATGGGGAAAAACATTGTGTCAGTGTGAAACCTGAGCTTATTAAAAATGTAAGTAAGTTTTGGGAGCCATGCGTTGCCATGCGCTATAACTGAGTTTGTGCTACATTGAAGGGTGCAATAGTGAGGAAACACAGAGGCAAGGGAGCAGAGTTTACTGAAAGAGACTACGCTTTTCGATAAGCTATAGATTAGATGCTCGCCAACCTTCCAGGGAAGTTCAGCATCTTGAAGGATTGTCTTTCCTGGAGGAACAAAGTCATTCCAACAGAATGGTCCCTTCATCCCGATGTGTTTCAGTGGATAACACGAGACTGTCCTTATCTCGACCTGTTTACCACTTGATCAAATCATTTGAACACCTTGATTTAATAACGTGAAAAGATTTAGAACATATCTGTCGACGCCCAGTTGACAGTACACATGCTCTGCAAATCCTGCAGTCGACGGAAATCTGAACGTTGAATTCCATGTTGTTCACGAACCAGATGTCTAGTTCGTTGCACGTTGACTTGACTATGCATAGATTCGTTAGTCCTGTGAAAGTGCAACTCCAGAATTCCAGCCTCGTTCGGCAAGGATGGAAAACTGGACTTCTACAGTTGGTTAACTCCCTTGCCTTTGGAAGGTTGAGGACACAAGATAAGAACTTCAGACATGGCACTATTGAGGGTGATAGGTTAGCCTTAGGCTCACTTCAACAACTCACCCAGTACTTAATTGTCTTATGAAATCATTACAACAAGAGGATATTAAGGTACCACATACCTTTCCCAATGGGACCTATCCATTGTATTAATGAGTCTAATGGGAGCACCTTTTGCTACTGCAGCCAGAGATTCAGAAGCATGTGCAGGATTGGAGCACAGTTGCTCTGAGATCCCTTCAATCCATTTGGAGTTCATCGCCAAATGTCAGTCCTCGGCTCTTAGACCACTTGGACACAGACACTTCTCCATTCCAAAGATTCCAGCAACCACAGCCTAGGTTAGACAGATCATTGGTTAATGGCTGAATAACATTATAATATCTGGAAGTGATCGACAGCTCTGCAGAATTGTTACCAGTCTGGACTGTAGTCAAAGTTGTATGTGTCGTCAGAAAACCAGAAGTGATGTCATTGACTGTGACGCCATAACCGTAAGTGACGTCAGAGACCATATACTAAGGGACAGGCCTCTGCAGTAGATTATCATCAAGGATCACTGCCTCCCCCATGAGTGCAATTGATTCATTGAGACACCCTGCTGCTTTTCTCCTGGCAGCAGTCAAGATGCACGACACACGTGCAGATGCTCTTACTTGAGGACTTCAGTAGTCTAGTAAACAATCTCACCCATTGCTTGGATGCTGAGAGTTAATTCCCCTCTCTTCCACTCACGTGCACATGCTGACATTATACTGATATTTTGAGTATTAGGCTTAGCGCAGTAAAAAACTACAATGTGTCGCTTCAGGAGAACAGACTTAGGCGCCCGGACCAGTCCATCTCCTTGACAGAGATCACGCCCTCATTACACCTGTTCATCAATTCCTCTCGAAAAGGGGGTGCGCATCTGGAGGGCCAAGTCACCATGTGGCTGTGGCCTGCCGCTCAGCATCAGTGGCACATCAAACAACCTAGAACTAGAGGTTCTCATGTAGGCTCTCCCTCACTGGAAACAGGCACTTCAGAGCCCTAGGATCAACCCATCCGGACAATGTCACCGTTGTGTGTTGCTTCCGCAATCGGGATGACCCACTCCTCCGTTGAAGCAAACTGATGCCCACTCCAGACCAGACATGGAAGCACCCACACTCCAACCAGGGAAACACCATCCAGACACCTTCGATCTTGTCCGTCGACAACTCATCTCCCCCAACATCAACCTGTTTGCCACCAGCCAGAACTTCAGGTGCAGACTTTCATATCTCCAGTGACGGATCCATAAGCCTGGACAGTTAACGCCCTCATCGTCCCCTCCAGTACTCTTTCCCAGGGTCCTTCAAAAGATCAGGTTGACCCAGAGCCTCGCTCTTACTTTGATAGCGCCTTGGTGGTCTGCAAGGAGCTGGTTTGTGGATCTCAAGGAGATGTCCACTATTGACCTCATCAAACTCCCAGTTTGGCTAAACCTGCTGATCCACCCTCACTGTCTCATTCTTCACGCCTATGAGGCCACAGCATTGGACCCTCCCAGAGCCAACAAGCCACCTGACATCCTGTCGGTCGCCTCTACCATGGCGTTTCACAGCAACTGCTCCGTCTGCGCCATTATGGAAGGCTGCTTCAAGTGCTTGGACACAGTCTTCGTCAGCCACTACTTGCAACATGTCGCCTCAGAAAACGTGAAAGGCGTCCACAGCTTTCGCCCCTTGGTGGTTGCCCATCAGGTCACCACCCCAAGGTGCCAGCGACGCTTCCACATGTCCAGAGCCAGCCTTTTGACCTCTCTGTTACATGTCACCCCAGACTAGAAGGTTACATTTTGCACGCAATGGCTTGGTACATCAGTTCTGGACTTTAACCCCACTTAATTCCTTTTACTGCAGTGATACCTGGACATCACGAATACCTCACTCTCTTGCTTCCAACTGACAAGAATGGTCACTCGATGCCAGACATCGATGTTGCTGTTTGATTGGAATCTGTGGAGAGTTTTTGAAGGTCTCATCTGAGTGTATGCCCTCCACCATGCTTTCCCATAAGGATGCATTAAAGAGTAATGCAGGATGTTAAAGAACCTTGTAAAATCCTAGATATGTTTCATATTTGTATACTTATCCTGCTTTACAACATTGTCTTCAGATGCTCTGTTTTTAGCAGTTATGTGGTGAGTGATGTCGCCTCTTCCTTGGTCGTGTGGGAGCTGTGTGACAGGGTTAGCCACTCAGGATAAGTATACAAATATAAAAAATATCTAGGATTTTGCTAGTCTTCTGCATTCGTTGAGAGACTAGTGTTTTAAAATAATTTGTTACGTTCTCTAACTTCACTTGCAAATGCGATTATATCACTCAGTTTGGAGAACTGAGATATCAGAAATTATTGTTCCTTGAACAGTAATAGTTTCAGGTACAATTTCTTGCATTAAAATTCTTTTCAGTTAGGATATAAGTTATTTTGTATCTTTTTATATGACTGGTAGATAAGGGTGGAAATTGTACAGCTGATTGCTATTTATGGCTTAGTTTACAAGATAAGTGCACACGATGATCTTAGTCTCTGCATATAACAATGATTAGCATGATTAGCCTAACGGGAACTAAAATTGTAGATCATGTCTAGTCATGTTTTATATCAAAATTTACATTTTCATTAACAAAGTTTGTTATCTCCTTTTTGTTCACCAGTAGTCATATAATGTATCAGCTTTTAAGTAAGCACAATATATGAAATCGCAATTATACCCGAAACTTGTACCCAAGATTGAAGTATGCGCATTGTACTCAAGTCAACATGATGCACACAAGAAAATGATGATTTGGTTTTGCACAATTATCTTTCAACATCCCCAAGAGAATATTTATCAATTAATTCAAACATATTTTGTTTTCAGCTCTGAAGGCAAGGAAAGGGTAAACAGGATTCTTGTAAGTATGCCAGCATTATGTAACAGGGTTTTATGCTTATTTTACAATTATATTCATTTTACCTACAGGGTGTCTGTTATTTGATCCATCAATCATGACCACTAATTATCAGAAAGTACAGTACAGTACACCATGTGTAAGTCAGTGTAAAACCCTGATGTAATTTGGGATACAGTGAAATCTGTTTCAGTATAACTTTCACCTTAGTCTTACTTCCAGCAATAGAAACTAACACCCTATGAATCCCTTGTAATGATAACATATAGCAAAATGATTAAAAAGGGCAAATTTCTACTTGTCCTCAGGAAACTATTTGGCAGTTTGGTAAGGACTATAGGACTAGTGCCAATTTCGAACACTGATTTCTATGAAGTCAATGGCAGAAAACTAGGCACATTCAATTGAAAGTAGGTTTGGTTTTATGCCTCTTTTAGCAATATTCCAGCAATATCAATTGAACACTCCACTGATATCTTACTGTGCCTAATTCATCAATCTCTTGTAATGTGGATTTTTTTAATAGAATACTTAACTGTCTACCAGAGATCCACATTTCAAAAGATTGATTATATGTCGTCTTCATGGAGAAGTGGCAATCTCTGCTCTTAATTGTAATAAAGAAGTTGTTCATACATAAATTCTTATCCTTACTTAGTCTACCAAAGATGTAGATTGTTAGGTTAAGCATTTGTCTTCGGTATGACATATGAGCTCAAGGTAAAGTACTTACACTCCACCACAAACAGTGACAGCTTGCTAACATAGTCTGTGTAGGACTGCTTTACCTGTTGATGGTACAATATACAACATATTGTTAATATTGTTTGTTGTTTAATGCTGCACTCAGCAGTACTCAAGCTATATGACAGCAGTTTAAATAATCGAGTGTGGACCAGACAATCTAGTGATTGACTTCATGAGCGTCGACCTATGCAATTGGGATATGATGACATGCATCAACCATGTAAGCGAGGCTGACCTACTGATCTCATAAGTCACCTCTCACGACACAGTCACCTTTTACAGCTATCATGGTTTGCTGAGGACTTAAAGTACTCATGGAAATGAAAAAAACCTGTTTTGCTGGATTTAATAATCGACACAAAGCATTTCGTAGATGTAAATACGAAATAACAAAACAACTGGAAAAGTACTAGTCTGGATTTGCTAGTTTTATCTCAGTGCTCAATACAAAATGTACTTTACAGGAGGTAATTTGTAGGCACAACATTCAAAAATAAAACTAAGTCCAAATTGAAATGGCAGAAACAGGCTATAGGCATTATGCAAATTAGCCTGGAAAAAAGTTATCAAAACAACAATAAAAATAACAGCTATGTTTATGTACATAATAATAATGACATGTAAGTTGTTGTTTGAGAAGGGATTATGTTACTTTTACGTTCTGATATTTTGACGATGATTCACTATCCCAAAATGCCACTCACAAATCACTAACCACTGACAAATCACATGCACATGGGTTTCAAGCACCTGTTTTCACCTGTCGTCAAGGTGTCATAGGTCATGGACATTCACCTTGATCTACTAACACCTGGTTATGCTCAGTTTCACAATAGTCTGTTTTGTTCATATTTTTACACTCTTTTACTCGTGTAAAAAGACATAAAAACCTTTAAAACAACGTATTTGTGCCAAGGCCCAATTAGTACTAATTGAGTTGTTTGAATATTTATATATTTTGTTTTTTAACCATGTTAACTGCAATGATTTAAAATCTGAGATCGAAAAAACAGTGTTTTTTTTTCATTTCCGTGAGTACTTTAGTCTAACCCAAATCTTCACGGGTCCCAATGTACAACAGGCTTATACACCATGTATATCACAAACAATTGGTTTGACACATTTGTACATCCGACAATACTGTGCATAATGGTGGAGCTCTGGAAAACAGTTGACTGACTACAGTCGTATTAACTTATTTATATCAGATACAACTCTGTTCAATTTCTGAAATAATTTGTGCACATGCAGGTGTGTTCCAATAATGATATTACCACTTGAAAGTCATTTTCGTGAATACTGTAAATCTTGAAATTAACACGAGTGTGAATTAAGTGCGAAACATACAGGTGGTCTGTGTTCACATTAAGTGAACTTCGCATTTATGCCTCCAAAATGACCAGCAACATTAAAACCATCTTCCCGAGGCAAGTGAGTTAACTGACTATAAAAGTCCAATTTTTTACTTATCCTGCATTACTCCTTAATGCATTCACTGCTTACCTTGCGGCAAAAAAACTGGGACAGCTAACCGGCGATGGTCCTTGGGTGAATGGCTCTGTTCGTAATCCCACTTTTACATCCCGCCGTCGCTGTCCCTGTGACCTCACGTGACCAAAGGTCAACTCTTCACATCACTGCCTGTCGCGACATAGCTAGGAAGTTTCCAGCGGAGCTCTCGTTTTTTTAGATTTATTTAGACCTTCCATTCGTCTACCATTCTAAAATTCTTCTGCGATGGGTGATGTATACCTTTCATATTACTTTCAACATGTTGTGAAGTTGTATTTGATGTTTTGAGGCGGAAAAAAAGACGTGTCTTTTTTTTTCCCGCCACGTGCTATCTGTTCCCCGCCATTTTGAATTGTGTTACAATTGTTTGCTTGGTAAAGGTAGTCAATTGTTTACAATTATCGGCTAGGTATGTATAACATATTTCATATGTTGTTTTCAATACTACTAGCTTTGGCGGTTCATTGAGTTGCGTATATTCAAGCATTACACTTTCAACTCATTCAAAAATTTTGCCGAGAAATTATCTACGGCAGTAAATTCCAGTCCCGTTTTCTTCTAGTATATTATTGCGTAACTTATGCTTGCGTGTTGTACTAATTGTCGTGGAAAAAAATCTATTCAAGATCCTCACCCACGTTGTTTGTCGTGTACACAAATTTGTGCACCAAATTCTAAATGTGTTTTTTGTAGAAACCTCTCTCCAACGAGTTTCGCGAGGTATAGGCAAGTTACTCACAAACGTATTTTGCAGCAATCACGTCGTGAGAAAAGGAAAATGTCTCTATCGCTATCGCGAATGAGCGCGGGACAGGATTCGATCATTACGACGCAACATTTATCTATGAGGGATAATAGGTCGGCCGTAACTGTCACCGAGGAAGTGCACATGCCACCGGAATCTTCTCTCCCGGAGAATGTTGGGCGTATTTTATAATTGCACCTAATTTGGAGAATTCTACATCTGTTACATCTGCAGACAGTGCGCCAGCGTCTCAAGATGCGTTGTCGGGGATAGCGCCAAGCCAAGCTAGACTCAAGTCTACTTCATTGAGCATTGCGCCTCATATGCCTGCGCCGAGTGCAGCCAAGCCCTACTACCCAAGCGCTTCTACAATGACATCAGCCCAAGGGTTATCAGCGTATGATATTACGCAACCAGCGCACGATCAGCTTAGCGCTGTACCAGCGCAGGCGCCTATGCCAATTCCAAACACTAATTGGATGCAAAATGTTCTACAATCAATGTGGCAGCAGTCTATGACACAACTGTATCCTGCGCCTATGCCTATGCCTATGCCTACGCCTACGCCTTTGCCTACGCCTATGCCTATGCCTATGTATCAGACACCTGCATCAACTACATCTACGGCACATATTTTACCGCCTACTCCAGTGACTAATGTGTATAACACTCCTATTATGAGTCATACAGTACATTCTTCGTTGAGTAGTACCAGTACACCTCCCCGTACTTGGACATCAACTCATGATTCCTTGTCACCAGGCAGTTCATCTAAGCCCTCGGTCAGAGGTAATATTGCACATCGGAGTAGAAGTCGTTCACCATCAAGACGTACACATCAACGTCGTTCTGATTCATCAGATGGTTCTAATGGTGAGGAGGGAGATTCCGCATACGAATGGAATACTCACCTTAGCCTGGCTCAAGTACTGATTGGGTAGCTGACCGCCTCATTTCAGTACCTTCCCCGGGTAGTGGGGTAGATCAAAAAGATACTATTTGGACACATCCTACGTCGATTCCGATTGACCCTATGATGTCAGATATGATTAGATCTTTGGATGAGGACTTCTCCAGGCTCACACTTACGCCGTCATTCAGACCTCCCAGGTTTAGGAAAGATGAATTTCCTATTCATGGCTTTGAGGCAGCAAACCAGGCACATAGTTTGGATGAGGATATACAGAGAATGACAGGCTCGTCAAGGCCTACCACTCTTAAGGTTCAGGATACCAGAGTTGCGTTTATTGAAACAGAAATCCGAAGGGTATTAAAACCTTTAGCAGCATTAGCATCGTCTACTCGGGCGGTAGAGCAGGATCTGTCAGAGGATAATCCTAACCGACTAGATCACCTCCAAACTATAGTTGATTTTCAACAGCGTCAGATTGACCATATGAGGAATCATCTTAAAGCTGCGTTGGCAGAAATAACTGTCACTCGGAGATTGGGTTATTTAGCCTTATCTACTTGGGACTCAGAGTTTAAGCGCAGATTGCTACGTCAACCTTGGTCTTCCTCATCTCTGTTCAACGAACAGATTTCAGACACACACGCGAAGGTTTCCAGTTACGCTAGGGATGAAACAGCACTCAAGGCTTTGGAGCATGTTTCTCAAAATTTTTCCCAGGCAAGTCAGGCAACTACAGGCCTAGACGTGAGTCGCTTAAGGAAGGACAGGTGCAAGATTCTTTTCGTGGCAAAGGGCGTGGCAGACGAAAACCCCCAGGGTTCTTATCAATCCCGACGTGGTAAATACCACAGTAAGGGAGGTGATAGGAGGGGCAAACATTGAAATGTTAGACAGTCACGACTGGGATCTCCTACCCCCAGTCGTCCCAATTGTCGATACCCCTGTAGGCGGGAGACTGAATCGGTTTTGGAAGAACTGGAGCATACTCAGGGACGATTATGTTCTCAACATTCTACGCCACGGTTACCAACTAGACATAGAGGTTTTTCCTCCGTTGACCACGGCACCCATTCCGGGGAATTATCC